CATGTGATACGATCACACTTCCGCCTTAACCCGAAATCACCTCACATGATTCTACTCCGCTTTAGCCTACCCCTAAAAGTGGAATTTTTATTTATTTATTTATTTTTGTGTAGCAATCATTTTATTTATTTATTTATTTTTGTGTAGCAATCATTTTATTTATTTATTTTAGTGTAGCCATAAATCCTTATAAATAAAAGTCTCTCCTGATTTTTTTTCACTTTTCCATAAAAAAAAAATCATTTTATTTTTGATATTTTCGCTTATAAAAAAAATATTCCTTTATTAAAAAAATAAATATTCTTTATCAAAAACGAAGTCTTCACTTATAAAAAACTATTTTTATTTATTAAAAAGTTATTTATTTTATCATAATAATAAAATAATATTTTCAATCACGAAACTTATGAATAGGGTAAATATAACTCTTACTCGTTATTACAAGTGAATTATTATTACAACAAAGAATTATTATTATTATGCTGAATTTATAAAATATCATTTATATCTAGAATCTATGCTGAAATTTTAATACTTTCTTTTATAATTTCTTATTGTAGCATCTTGATTTCACTTAAGAATTACTTCTGGAATTTGCGTTTGTTTTAGGTATTTAGGTACAAATTGTTGTTTATTGCATTGTTCTTCTTTTGTTTCTTTGTTGACATCTTGTGTGACAACTCATCTCATTGGCTAATTTAGATCAAGATGGAAATTTATTTTTTTAACTTTGCATCTTAGTATATTAATACTAACTTTTGTTCATTTTTATAGTTTTATAAGGTGACCTTTGGAAGAATTGATTTCTTATAACGAAACTTTTTTCAAGATGACAAATTGATAGAATTGATGTGTATGCGTGCTCACAAACAATTAATAGATACTAATCACAAACATTTTTCTATTAATAGTTTCTTTAGTTTAGATTTTATTAGGATAGACTTCTTTAGTTTAGATTTTTAGGTGAGTAAATTTTTGAATTTTTTTCTTTTGTTTCTTTTTGTTTACAATACATTGATAAATACTAATATATAATATTTTTTCATTTCAGAGATAGTTTTTCACTAGTTTAGATTTTTAAGGTGAGAAATCATTTATTTTTTTTTTGTTTGTTTGTATGCCACATCGTGGAATACTAATTATTATTATTTTCTTTTTATAGATAGTTTTTTAATACTTAGATTTTTGGTTCATCTGCGGTCGGTTACGTGGTTTGGGCTAGGTGGATTGGTTCGATTTTCTTTTTTATACTAACCTTTCTTCTTTTTTTATACTAACCTTTCTTCTTTTTTTTTGTACTAACATTTCTTTCTTTCTTTTTTTTATTATATTTGGTTTGTGCTTTAGGATACATTTTTTTAGGTAAAAAATCTTTATAATTTCTTTGTTTTGTATATATTTTTATTATCATGAATATTAATACTAATCATTCATTCTTCTTATTGATAGTTTTAGTTTCTTGACTCGCGCCTGGCCGGTGACAGGGTTGGGTCCGGTGGATTTAGGCTTTTTGGCTGGTAGTATGATTTTCTTTAGTTTTAGGTAAGAACTCATTATTTTGTTTTGTTTTCTTGCTTTTTGCATGCATATACATCAATTTGATCAATATAAAGAAAGAATTGACAAAAGGAATCATTCAGAAAGTCTAGGATGGAAAGGTGTGTCATTTCATTTTATATTAATTAATTCAATAATAATTACTTATGCAAAACTGTTTTCAAGAATAAAATAAAAATAGTAAAGTTAAATTTATTAAAATAAATAAAAAAATAAAAAATCTTTCAGATCAAAATTATTTTCAAAAAATCGTTACTAAAAATGCGAGAGACACTCACATCTCAGAAAACTAATGTAACCTATGGAACAAGTAGCAATAACCATCGAAAAAAAAGGCAGAGAAGCAATCCACAGTTCATTAAGTGTAAAGAATGTTTTCCAGACAAATTTTAATTACTTAAGCTCCGATGCATCAACCTCGAATGATAGTGAACTGGCTTTACAGCAAACAGTTTTCTAAGCGAACATAAAGAATGGAGAATGATAGCTGACATGGAAATATATCTTGGGTTAAAGTGTTAATGGTTAAAGGGAAAAATCCAAAGGAAAAAATTCAAAACATCACTTATTTATTAGACAAAAGTGCAATTAAATTTTAGGGCGGAAAAAAATTGTGAAGATTCGGAATTGTATATTACAATTTATTTTGGATGGTAAAAAGATATAAAATTTAGAGATTGTATGAATCAAAGAAATGATAGGTTAAACTTAACCAGAGTAGTAACTCAAAAAAAAGAAATTTCAATAAAGAAAAAGAGAGCAAGAACGGGAATTCAAAACAAGAGGCAATTGCATATTTTGAGAATTCAACCACATCAGGTCAAAATTTGAAATAACAAATAGTAATGTAGATTTCCTAGTATGACGTTTAAGGAATCGAAAGAAAGAGGAGAATACCAGTGAAATTAATCAAATTATCACCTGACATGTTATCAAGTGAATTATACACGTTACGCTTACGGTAACAATGGGAGCAAAAACTTGACGCTTTCTATAAAATATCTATGGAAAAAGAAAAAGAATAGTAGTAAACGGGAGAATACATATCAATAAAGTAAACGCTACAACTAAAACATGTCACAGATGTCACGCAGAAGATCTACCGTTGATTGGATGCCCGATCGCAGCAAACAAATGGAAATGAAATCAAATAATTATAAAAAATATGGTTATATACATAAAAATTACTAAAACATGTTTGTATTGTACATATATTATGATTATTTTACTTATTCAGCTTTGATTATCTATATCTATCATAATCACGTATTTATACATCATCATTATTTTTTAGGTCTTCATATTAAAATTGATTTCGAAGAAGGAAAAAAATATTCAAAACTTTGAATCCCGATGATTCAAGATCATCATCAAAAGTTGATCTTTTTTGAAAATGGCGAGGATGAAATATTTTCCAGAGCAAATACTATGCATCAACAATGAATCTTTACAAGAATCATTAAAAGATTCATTAAATGATACACTGAATCTTGATAATATTAATAGTGAGAATATGGATAGGTATAGTAATCGAAAGAAGTACAAGATCTATAAATATTCTTTTACCACTTATTCAAAAGAAATCGCAACCACTGCCATCACCATCAACACGAAAATGGTACAACATAAACAAAATAATAGTACTTCACATTCAGATTATCTAATTCAATTCCAATTATCATTATAATGATCAAAAATATTATTGGCATTATCATGAACTTGAATTATCTAAAGGTGATGATTGAAACCTATAATTTCTCCTTTAAATCATGATTCAAATGAAATCAAGAAAAAATCTGATTTAGTTATTGGTGCAGGGATTCAGATTATGATTATTATTATTATATTTTTATTTTCAATTGATATTTATAGAATAATCCATTAGCTCAGAGTCATGCACTAAGAATGAATCTCATTCCCCATCTATTAAATTTACTCTTATCAGAAGAAGGAAATTATATCAAGGTTTTATCACACCTTTTAGATGTTTTTTCAAATATCGTTTGCAGAAATAATAATCGTTGATGTTAATGGATAATCTCGATTAACAATTTTATATGAAAAATTAGAGAATAATTATTGTCGAGTAAAAGTGCTTTATTATTTACTTTATGGATCTAAAATGGCTGTTAATGGAAATAAAGAAACAACAACATGGGAATTCATTAATATCTTCATTTTTGGATATAATAGGATCTTGGTGCGAATCATTTCAATAATGATGATGATAATGATGATGACGATGAAGATATTAAAAATGACAATAACAGATTTTGATACTAAAGAAAAAAAACTTAAGGAAATATTATCTTCTTTAGTGTTCAACTCGAAATAGATTGAACAAGCCAAATTAGTAAAAAATAAAAATTATTGTTATTATTTTTTTCGGGTTGATTAGAATGATTTTGCAAGTAAATTTTATTATTGAAATTAATAAGCCTCAAGTGACATACATAAAAGCACAACAATCCAAATCTCTTACTGACTAGAACATCCTGACCAACTACTAACAATAACGAAAGACCACTGGAAATACATAAAAAAGTTGTGAACTTCTCATAAAAAAGAATGTGCTTTTTTTTTTTTATTCACTTTATTTTTAAAAGGCCGATTTTAGGTAGATAAGAATTTTAAAATCAGATTTTCTCATACAAATTTCCTTTGACATATGAATTACTCAACAATTTTTTCTTCCCAATCTTGTCCTAACTTTTTCATTTTTCTGTTTATCTAATCTCAAGTTTACTATTATTCAAGAATAATAAAGAATAAAAATGTTAACCTTCTTTTTTTCTTTTTCACATATATTAGGACAAACGATATTTGAGGTAGGTTTTGGAAGAAAAAATAAAAACTTTAGAAGATTTAGAAATGGTGAAAAATAATTTGAGGTGGGTTCTTTTTATTTATTATATTTGTTTGTTATTTAATGTTAATGGTAACGTATAGGACAATGTCCTGTGCGTCATCTCTCTATTCATGAATTTCCTAATACAAACTGGAAACTAAGAAATAATAATTATAATGTAATCATTTTAAATTTTAATAGAAATACGGAAAATAGAAAAAGAAGGTTTATCTATTTTTATATTTGTAATATTTTTCGTAGTAGTAGTGAATAAAGTAATAAGAAAAAATAAAATTTATTATTTTGAAAAAAAGATACAATAAATTTTATTTTATATAATGTAAGTAGAAAATTTTTGAGGCACGAGAGGTTCTTCAAAGTCTTTTGCTAGAAATTTTTCAAGATGAATCAATATTAGATATATCATTTAAACATTTCACATCATTAAATTCTTGACGAAAGTTTTAAAGTGGAAGACATGGAATCAAAGAATGAATCCAAATTGCTAAATGTATTACATGAGAGTCAAGAAATCAAATCAAGTTTGCAAAATAAACCAACAAAAATTAAAAAATAAATCACCATAGAAGAAAAAATTATATTGGATGGTAAATGAGTAATAATATATTAATAGAACTTATACAATACAGATCAAAAAAAAAATTGAAACTTTACATATGATAATTAAGGAAGGTCTGTAATGAGAAACCATCCTCATTGATCAAAGCGATATGTGAATGTATAGAAGCTATCAGAGAAAGCAGTAATAATGAGGAAACAAGACTCTCATTAATTGTATACGACCTCAGACCTGCAGCTCTAAATAATATAATACTACTTCTGATCACATACTAGAAACATCATTCCTGAAGACTGGACAAAGTGTAGTCCTAATACCCAAACCAAAAGAATGGGAGGATAATCTAGAAATCACGTGTACCATCACACTGTTACTAGGAACAACTTTATGAAGATAATTAAGAAATTCTTATAAATAGTACTAGTAGAAAACAAAATATTTAACCCTAATAATTATTTTGGCCCACCAGAAGAAAGAATCTTATATCCAAACATATTTTGAACAATATAATGGAAGAAGATAGGGAAAACAAAAGGACTTCGAAAGAGTTAAAATTACTCAAGTTAATTCAAATATTTCAATTCATAATGAATATTTGCACGAACTCTGGAATCACAGGATATGAAATGAAACATAAATATCAAGTACAGAAAGGAATAGACAATCTCTCATATTTTCAAATTCAATAATTTATAAATAAATGCATTCAAATCAGATCTCGTTGTAATCAACAGTTCCTTAACCAAAGGTAAACAGACAATAAATCTCATTAATATAGAAATTAAACCGAAAGAATCTAGAGATCTAGTTAGAATACCTAGAGATTTAGATTTGGATAGCAGAAAAAGGAAATAAAGAGCTTAATAACACAGGAGATACTCACAACAATTAGTATAATGCATACAAAAAAAAAATAACAGAAAATCAAGTAGATACTATTCTCTCAAATTGAATACTTACTCTCTGACATAGTCATATCTGAAATAGATACAGAGAAACTAAATGTAAAAATTAGAAATTTATTCCAGCACAAATGTGGCTATGCAATTCTTTCGCAAATGCCATGCAAATTGTAGTTACAAAGTATTCATTCTCCGAGATTGAAAAATACAAAAGCATACATCAGAATTCGTACGGAGAATAAGCAGTAATAGATTACATGGAATGTTAACATAAATTCGAATACAACAATTGCAAAATTATCTTTGGCCTACACAACCTGTTTGAAACAAGTAATAGACAGATTCTCAGGAACAAGAAATCTAAATGGAGATATAATCAAAGTTGGTTAACACGACATTAACTTAACTTCCAACACAAACCGCCCAATTCCTAATATTTCAAATGGGGAGGCAAATAAACTATAGAATTCGAAATACAACCTGGCAAAATACTGGTATAATAGAAACAAAAAAACTATCTGAGAAGACAAGGAATATTATATCTAGAACCAATACTAAATGCAGACCTCAGTCACACATTATATTGGATGCACCTCAATCAAGAATACATTACCAGGAAAAAATTCAAATGGCATGAAGAACTGATGGCATATAGTATGAAGAGTTTAAGTAAACATTGTTAGTTTCGGGATGTAATAATTTAATATTTTCAATATTGTTGTCATTAATACTGTAAGTTTATCATTTGATTATTAGCTTATTTGATTATCATATTTGAATAACTTTATTGTTGATTGTGGAGGTGGTACAGTCGATTTAGCAACCAGAAATTAGTGAAATTACGGAATAAAGAGGTGATTTATATGGTAGTTCTTATGTTGATCGTGAATTCCTCTTATTTCTTAGGAAAAAACTTAATTATACTACAATGAAACAATTGAAAGAAAAAATCATTATGGCCAATTGCAATATTGGTTCAACTATTTTGTTCAGTAACTAAATTCTCTTGACAATGTAAATCCCAATAAATATATTTATTAATGAAAATAGATACAAAATTAATTAAAATTAATTTTAAAATTATAAAATAAATTTTTGTAAGTTACATAATAAATATGAATGAAATTGCA